TCAAATGCCCCGATGGAGACACGGGGGAGAGGCAGAGCCTCCGCTTCCCGCCTTCATCAGGGCTGGTGGCCCCGAGTCTTGACTTTCCCTGCCACGTCTGCGGATTCCGTGTTTATTTCCTGACTCCGAAGCTGGTCCCGACACTGGGGACCCTCGGGTGCCAGATTCCTGGTGTCCCATAAGGTGCTCAACCCCACACGGGAGCATCCGTGCAAGCGCTTCCCGATAGAGYGGAGGCCTGTGCTCAGAGGCTACGTGCGGGTGCTGGTATCCCAGGCTGCGGGTTACACCAGGGAGCACAGGACACAAAGCATCAATTTTCCATGTAAAAATTAAATCCTGGCTGATAGAGACATTGAAAAAGCCAACGGCTGGGCATTTTTGGCCAATAATACAAAGTCAGCAGACAAACAGCAAGCCCAGAGGTGTCTGGATTTCCCCTTCTCCTATGCAGCCCTAAGCTCATGCTTAGAGAGTCTAAGGCTGCATAGGATGAACAGGGTCAGCACCTCACTTCTGCATTGAGGAAGCCACATTTGGGGGCAGGAAACATTATTTAGGGCACTGCAGCCTCATCCCAAGCAGCTCAAGTTAAACCAGTTGCAACATTCAGAGCATCATCACTGGGCAAATGGAGGTGCCAGATCCAGAGCCGGGCGGCCAAACGGTCCCAGCTTCTCACCAGGGACCTTCCCAGTTCCCTGAGCAGAACTGAACAGATCGGCTCCAGCTCCAGCTGCATCTGGAAGGGACCAACATCCTTTCTCCACCTTGACAGACTTCATGGTATGAAGCTTTTAAGGCCAGATTTAAGGAAATCCCTTCTCCACAGCAACCATCCAGAGCCGCTAGGAGAAAGGAGCCTCGTTCACTTTCTTAAACGGGGAAAAAACAGCATTAATCACAGCAGCACGAGTAGAATCCAGACTTCTCACCCTGCTTGTTTTGTTATTCTCGTTCCCCCTGCTGCCCCGACACCGAGGGCTTTGGCCATCACGCTGCCCAAGTGGCAAGGCATCGGGCTTCTTATCTTGGCCACGGGAGCCATGTGGTCTCGTTAATGGGGTAATAAACCCCGTTGTGTGTTAAAAATCTATCAGATTAAACTATGCAGAGAGCAGGAAATAATGATTTTTAGCGCTAAGTGTCCTTGCAAAATGTCTACGAGATTAGCATGTGTTGGGTTCGGAGACTGGGGATATCTGCAAGGTCAAGCTCTGACAACAGCGTGTCTCTAATTACGCTGTTAATGTTGCAGTCTAAAAATGACATGTTTGGCCAACAGGGAAAGAAAAAAGGCAAAAAACTCCATATATCCTAAGCACAGAAAGGACTACAGGACCATACGAACATACACACAGAGCTGTCCAAGGGGCAGAGATGTTTATGGGTCTGATCTGGGTTTATTCCTCTCCATTTCCCTCTGCTTCCTCTAAAGGACCCGTCACTTCTTTTTCCTTTCCTTTGCATGGCAAAACTCGAGGAAAACTGAAAAAATGCTGGACTCTGAAGCGTTTGGAAGGTGCATTCAGTGCTTTTGCTCGCAGAGAGGGAGCACTTGGCAAATCCCTTAAGTTTGTGGAAGGAACTGAAACTACCTGCTAGGAAAAGAGGCTGGAGAAGGGCTGAGACAAGGGCTGAGCACCCTTATTTTTCCTTTCACCACTGAATTATCTATTTCTGCTAGAAGGAGCCTTCACCTTGTATGCAAAGAGCCACAAAAAGTGACTTGACCTAATGCAGCTCGCCCAAAGATCAAGAAAAAACAAATGAACTGGAGGGTAGGAGGTTGGGGAAGGGGAATTTGATAATTCCCCATGGCTCTGCAAGGTAGAGGTGTTTTCCATCAGTTGTCCTGCAGTGTCTTGGGTTCCTTGCTTGGGGCTCTGGGTACTGAGAGGAGAAGGAAACCCTCTCATCTCCCCTGATGCAAATTCCCAGGAAGCAAAGTGCTTGCCCTCATTTCCTCCCGGAGCACAAGGATGATTCCCTGCATCTCTCCTTCTCGACAGGTCCCCTCTAAAGGAACACAGCTTCCACTAGAGGAAGGGGGAATGTCACTATAAAGGCCAATTCCTACAGTTCCTAGCCACCCTAAGTGTCTCCCTGTGCTTTACAAAACAAGTCCAATGTCCTCGGGTTTAAGCAGTCAGTTAAGGGAGACCTTTGAAACTGATGTTGTGCTGCTGGAGGCCACCGAAAGGATTTGAAAGAAGCCCTTTGCCCTGTCTGTTGAGACACCTGTTGGGAAGTTCCATGAGCCATCGAACGCCAGTATAAAAGGATTGCCCTGTTTCGAGTGCACGTCCCTTGTGCCACTCTGCTGTGTTAAGGCTGTGTTAATGCTGTGCTCTGCACCGGCCACCAGCCCCAAAGACGTCGCTTTTCTGATAAACGACGTGATCCAGGTGAGAAAATAAAACCCAGTTTCCTCTGCCTAAGCCAGGGCAAAAGATCAAGGGTCTCATCGCCAAGTTAAAGTTAAAACTTGCAGCAGGTCATGTCATGGGAGAGCATCCAGCTAATAGCACTGCAGGAGGGCCCCAGGGAGGCTGGGAACAGCCCCAAAGCAGGCGACCCTTTCCCAGGTTTCCGTTCCCTGCCCATTCCCACCGTTGGGAGCTTGTGGGCGGATGGGTCTCTGGTCCCCACCGCTCGCCCACCTCGATGGGCTTGGAGGGGTCACCACAGGGCTCCAGCTCCTGCTGCCGGATTGTCACACTGCTCAGCGACAGAAACACAAAGATTTACAGTGAGGGACCATGAGGACRAGAGATACGAGGGGACATGAACTCGGAGCTCGGGTTCCAGCAAGTCATTCCCCGCAAAATACCCTTCCAAGGGCGCTTTTCCGAGAGCAGCGCCCATCTTCTGGGACACGGCTGGAATTCCACCCAGGCGAAGAGGGGACAGCTCCGTTCAGCTACACACACAGCCATTAACATCCTGCCTTACCCCTCGAAACGTTTTCTAAATGTTGCTACAAGTGACAGTCACTCCTTAATGAACAGAATGCACCGATTCTGGGCCTGACACGCTGCCAACTGTGCCTCGAATCATCTGTGGTGTCTAGAAGGGAGTAGCGTCTCCTCCTCCTCCTCTCCTTATTAAAAAGCTCCGTCTCCTCAGCCCGAGCAGCCCAGGTTTACACAGGGAAGTCGATTCCTGGCACGGGGAAATAGCCCCTTGGTGTAGAAGGCTYGTTACAACAAGGACTTTCCTTGGAGAGAAGCCGATGGACTCATCTGTCCCTGAAACGTTGGCACCACTTGGGTAACCGGGCTGCTTCACACACAGGAGAGAAGGTTTCCCCCAAGCAAATCCCAGGTTTGTGTTCGGCCGATCAGGTGGTTGCCAAATGTCAGTGTCGGTGCTTGGGACGCCAAGTTTGTSTCTCACAGACTTCAAGCACGGAGTAGAAAGCGTCTCCTTGGGGACTTCCACACCCAAATTACACCGCATTTTCTTACCTCCGTGTTCATCAGGCCAGTTTCTCATCGTCTCAGGTSTGTAGCTCTCCATTTCTACAGCTCCCTAACCCCCCAGTGTCTTCCAAAATCACATTTCCTCTTCTGCAAAACCAGCTGTGCAGGCGCAACGCTCATCTGGAGCAGTTTTATCAGCATCAGGCCTCTGCTTGCCAAGCCATACCCGTGCTCCTGCGAACAGGTACTTGGAGGGCTGGGTGGCCACGTGAATGAACTCCAGGGCACTCACAGCCACTTAGGGGAGGGCAGGGGTCCCCCCTGCTGCCCACCAGGATCGCATCCYGCAATCCTGCGCGCTGGTTTTCCCTGCTTTTCCCTCCACCAAAGCCAAGTCCCACCGACGCTCTCACCATCATGCACACGTTGGRGTTTCCCAAAGCACGCGCTAAGAAAACACACGGTATTTCTCTGCTCCTTTAACCTAAAGCAAGCAGGAACTGGGGATCACCACACCCAGGAGCAACAAACTCTYGGGCACAAAATAGCAGCAAATTCACCGCTTTCACCTATTTTTTTCAGCTTTAATACACTGGTTTCTTCGCTAATGTCATCCTCTCYACAAGCCCATGTGCAAGCAGGTTTCTGGATGCCCAGCCTCGGCTTTGGGCAGCGCAGGTCGTGCCCATTAAGAAGACATCTTACAACACGCCACGATCCCAGCTTTGCATACCAGGACAAGCCCGTTCTCCCTGCGATGTTAACAGCGAAACAAACTTCCCTGAGTCGAAACACGCCGAGGAGAAACCCGACAGGTCGGGCAGGAAAGTCCCTCGGCGGCTGCGGCTTCCCAGAGCCTGGGAGAGGCCGCAAGGAGCCCTGGATACGGACCAGGCTCTGCGAGGAGCCGGGAGGGCTTTGGCTTCACCCCAGGGAGAGGGCAATGACCGCAGGGAAAGGGTCCCACGCCGGGATGAGGGCACCGTGGGTCAGCACGGGGTGTCACCGCATGGCAGGGCCACGAGGACAGGCCAGCGCTGCCTCGCAGGTGGCACCRTGGCCCGGCTCTGCCACAGGCCACCACGGGCCATCCCTGCTCCTCACCTCCATTCAACCTTGGGCTCCCCATYGCCCCCCGCAAGGCGCAGGGACGCACGCCGCACACCAGCGCTGCGCGGGCCGGGTGGGGCGGACTCAGCGAGGTCCCCCCGGGGCCGGTGACACTGAAGGCGCCGGGCACATCCCCAACTGCAGAGGCGGATCCGGCCCCGCCGGCAGCGGGGCTCGAACCCGCGGCCCGAAGCGGCCACAGGGGGGCTCGGCGGGGAGCACCAATCAGCGCCCACCGCGGGAGCCGCCTGGGCGCGAGGGGGCGTGACCAAGGGAAACGGTGTGAGTGACAGCGCGGCGGCCCAATGGGAGGGCAGCTGCGAGCCAATCAGCGCGCGACGCTCGGTGAGGGCCGGCGAAGCAGCCGGGAAGGGGGGGGAATCTCCCCAGCAACGAAGTGGGGGGGGAGTCGCTCCCGCTAGCGCCGCGCCCGCCACGCCGCGCGCAGGCCGGCGCCCCCCGTACCTGCTCGAAGCGGGGCTTGCCCAGCTGGAAGGGCGGATACTCAACCGGCTCGGCCATCCCCGCCGCGAGCGCCACTTTAAACGGCCTCCVCCGCCGCCGCCGCGCCCGCCCCTCGCGGCGCCGCCGCGCTCATTGGCCGCGGCGCACCGCAGCCGCCGCGGGGCACGCCGGGACATGTAGTTGGCCAATAGGCGCGCGCGCGGTGCRGCGCGGGAGCTGTAGTACCGAGGCGGCGGCGCCGCGGGGCACGGCGGGAGCTGTAGTTTGGCGGGAAGCTCTGAGGGGAGCGAGGGGGAGACACATCATGGCGCGGCCGGGGGCGCCCCCCCCTGCGCGGGGCTGTGGGGTGCGAGGCCCGCGGAGTGTCTGGGCGCTGCCGGGACCCCCCCAGGGCAACATTTCCGTTTATTTTAAACGTTTTCTTCATTTCTTAAAGCAACTCATTTTGGACTCTCACAGAAATTATACTTCTGGATGAGAATTATATTTCTGCTAAAAGTCCCCCTGCTTCACACTGCACGTTTCTGATCAATTCACTCAAGTACTCATTCCCAAATGCCCTTGATTTCTGGTGCCCAAATGCTGCTTTTCCTTCTGACGCAGCATCTAAAATATTCATATTTTAGACGCGTAAGATGTGCGTGACACGGAGGGTAGACACGGGCCTTAACCCTGACAACCGTTCAAGCAAATAATAATGCACAGGAAGATGAAAGCTCAAGAGGTCCTGAATAAACTAAAGACTCATCATTTCTTTGAGGAAGAGCCTAACAATTGCTATTGACCTTGAAAATATGCGATTAAACACAAAGAATGGGAAATCCGGGGGTAATAAGTTTACTTTGAGGCAGTCTATTTATCTGCTTCATCAGTATTAGGATTTGTCGGGATAAAGCCTGGGTTTGAGGGGGACGGAGAGCCGGAGGGAGGCGTATGGAGAATTCTGCTCCCTAGATTAGTGGAATAAGAAATGTGTGGCCCTTCGGATGCCCGTGGAATTGCTCAGAGGATTAGGATCGATCGTCCAGGGAAGAGCAAAGAGCCGGGGATAACGCCGGGGATGCAGATGAAGGAGGGGAGGCGCTCGGGGCACGAGGGGAAGCCTTGGCTCCGCAGAGGGAAAAGCAAGAGAATAGAGAGCAGGTTATAAAGGATCTTCCCGCTAGGCAGGAGTAAAAACGTAGCAGGGGAAAACAAAATTTTTTTTTTTTTTTTTTTTTTTTTTTGCTGTACACTGAAAAACATAAATATTGGAGTGTTTTGCTGCAGGAGAGCTGCTGTGCTTCAAAGGAGCTGCAACGCTCTGCGCTGCCTCTCCATCCGCAGCCAGCGTTTTTAGGCCATGTCCCCATAGATCCCTCTGCTGAAGCTCGAAGCTGTCAGGCCGTTTCAGGCAGAAAAGGGGCAGAAAAGAGGCTCAGCTGCAAATATGATACCTCATGTTGAGTGTTTTTCCCATTGGGGCCAGCCAAGAAGCAGGCMAAGAGGGAGCCAGGAGCTCGGGCTACCCTGTTATATGAGAAGGGCAAAGTTGAACTGTGTTTTACTGGAGCTTTAGTCTGTCCTGGGAGTCTGGTTCAGGGAAGAAAGGAGGGACAAAGAGAAATCCACATTAATGTTTGAAATCAGCATGATTTTGCTTCCACTGAGATCCACCAAAATACGGCAAAGAGGTTTTCTACATATCGAAAACCCAGCTACAATCGGTGACAACACCGCGATGCTTTAGAGCCCCGTATGAGGTGTCAGCACCTGCTGTTTAAAGGTTGTCGTTTGGGAGGGAGGCGGGATGTCTGCCCCTTCCGCAAGAGCCGGAGAGCAGCATTCCCGCTTGAGCAGTCGGCTACCAGGAACCATTTCGTGCTCCCGYCATTTTCCGTAAATCGGTGGGTGACCAGAGACCCACTGGCCACCAAAAGACCAAGACAGAAAGAACTTCTACCAAATAGAAAAATGGAATTTTCTCTCCTCTTGGTCATTTTCCATTAGAAATACTATACAGTTAAACAAACAACAACAGCAACAAAAAAAAAGGTCAGATTTTTGCTGATTTATATCCAATATTTATATGCGATAGGATTTATATATATATATATGTATGTTAATATCCCCCGATCTGCTCCATCAACAAGTCTGATTCAGTCACAGCCTCACAGCATCCGGCAGCACATCACCCTGTGTCCATCTCTGTGCTACTGTGTCGTTTCTGATTACTGTGTATATGTCTGATCAATATATATAAATACCTGAAGAGGGAATGTAGGGAAGAAGGGGCCAAGCTCTTCTCGGTGGTGGCCAGTGACAGCACAAGGGGCAATGGGGACAAGTTGAACCCCAGGCAGCTCCATCTGCACATGTGAGGGAGAACTTCCTTGGTGTGAGGGTGCAGAGCCCTGGCCCAGGCTGCCCAGGGAGGCTCCTGCTCTGGAGATCTCCCAAACYCGCCGGGATGCGCCCAGATGCCCCATGCTCTGGGTGTCCCTGCTGGAGTAGGGGCTGCACTGGGTGATCCCTAGAAGTCCCTTCCAACCTCAGCCATGCTGGGATACTGTTTTGGGGTGGAAACATGACCCTCTCTGCCTGGAGGATGAGCAAAGATCTGCTCCAACAACATTTGGCCTATGGGGTTGTCTCCACTGCTGCCCTTGCAGCCCATCGTGGCTTAGCTGGCACCTCCACACTTAGCTCCTTGTGCCCTGCTGCTTCCTTACCCTTCATCCCTCTTCCCATGGGGTGATTTTAACCCTTGTTCTAAAGAACAGCGCCTAATCTAGGATCTGCCTTTCCTAAGCAGGACCTATAACTGCTTGAATCTCCAAGACCGTCACAAAAATAAATACATACATAAGAGCCGCTGGGACTAATGCTTCAAGAGGCCACTCCTCCCACATCCTCAAAGGTGTCACCCAAACATCTCCCAATTAAACACCAGCAAAATCATTAGGACTCTCCAGTAATCCGAATTCTGCCGCTTCAATCCCRGATCTTCCCGCAGTTTATGCAGGAGGGAAATCCCTCTCCCTCCTAGTGCGGTTGGAGCCAGATAATGGATACAATCCCTAATGTTGAGACACTTAATGTTTTATAACAACAGAGGGGAGAGAATCTGTTTATCTCAAACCACATTTGGAGTGACATAAGACTATCACTTTTTTGGTTGAATACCAGAAAGAACTCAACTTTTTGGATCAGATCAATCTCACGCGGTGCATTTAGACTGACAACTCGCATTTCGGTGGCGTGGGGGAGAAGGGGGGGGGTTTGCTTCCCCAAATCACCGCTGTTAAACCAACGTTTCCTTCCCATTTGGAGGGGTGGAGGAAAGAGGAGCCCCCGGCTATTGGTTTTTTTGCTAATCTTGCTCTTTTTAGGGCCATGTTTGGGGTGACCCCACATGTAACAGCCGGGCGTGGAGCAGGACCGGGAGCTGCCTGCAGAGGGAAGTGAGGGGAACATTTCTGGCCATCCGTAAAGTCAGATTCTGGGAGAACTTGCAGCCAACAGCAAAGTTCAGGTTTGCACAACGGCCCCAGCYGCATTTTCCGCTGCAGCAGCAGAAGATCCACGTGGGTCCTCGGCCCCACATCCGAAGCCTTCAAGCGAGCGCAGCTCCCTAAGCCCCTCCGYCTGCTTCAGCAGCAGCACGACCTTAAAATCCCGTTTCCTGACGTCAAGGGCTCCGTGTCTGCAGCCTCCTGATTAACTGCTGCCCTGCCCTGCAGTGTGCCTCTGCAGCCGGGGAAAAACACCCCATACTAAAAACCYCATAAAAATCCAATAACTTCAAGTTGTCTTTACTTAGCGCGGCCTTGCAGGGGTCACAGTTCAGCCGCCCTGATCCCAGGAGCAGCTCCGAGCTTTTCCTCGACAGTGTGTTAAGCTGTTGGCACCAACATGATCCCGCCGGACAGGTGCTGGGCTCCATAACCGACTGCAATCCAGCCGGATGGAAAACAAACYGGGATTACAGCAAAGGAAACGCTCCTCTGCCAGGGCAACAAAGTCATTTAGCACAGCTTAAGGGGAGTTAATCGCGGGTTAATTTAAGGAGAAAGCTCGAATTGWGAGGGGAAAAATCAAGCCCTGAGAAGGAAAACAGGGGGTGAGGAGAGCAGGTGGGTGGGATTAGGATGGAGACAGGGTCCTTTTCACCACTGGAGCTGTGTGAACTGTGGACCCATCAGCTCCCAGGTCATCTACAATCACAGAATCCCAGGATGGTTGAGGTTTGAAGGGACCTCTAGGGWTCACCCAGTCCAACCCAGAGCACGGGGCACCCAGGCGCATCCAGGTGGGTTTGGGAGATCTCCAGAGCAGGAGCCTCCCTGGGCAGCCTGGGCCAGGGCTCRGGCACCCTCACAACAAAGAAGCTCCTCCTCATGTGCAGATGGAACTACCTGGGTTTCAACTTGAACCCACTGCCCCTTGTCCTGTCACTGGTCACCACTGAGAAGAACTTGGTCCCTTCCTCCCTACATTCATCCCTCAGGTACTTGGACATATTGATCAGATCCCCTCTCAGCCTTCTCCTCTCCAGGGAAAACAGCCCCAACTCACTCAGTCCTTCCTCACGAGAGATGCTCCAGTCCCTTAACCATCTTTGTTGCCTTTGATCCTCTCTAGAAGCTCCATGTCCCTCTTGTGCTGGGGAGCCCAGAGGTGCCCCCAGTGCTCCAGGTTTGGCCTCCCCAGAGCTGAGCAGAGGGGCAGGATCAGGATTCTCTCCCTTGACCTGATGTCCTCCTTGACGTCCTCCTGATGCAGCCAGGAGCCCATTGGCCTCCTTGGCTCCATTGACGCAGCGCCGAGAAGCAGCCGGGGAAGTTGAGCCATGATCCCACTCCAGAACATASCCGGATAAATGTCCCTCACCGTCCAAGCGCTGTCAGCACAGACGCTGTTGTCAAGAAACCAGAAGTATCTAGGAACAGCTTGAACAACTTTTATTTTTTTTAAAGTGCTTTAAACGTAAATAACAAGCTCTTTATAAACATTAGTTGCAACTCTTAAAACATGAAACACACTGAACCCGCTTCCTGCATACGTGAAATCCAATCCCCCCCAAAGGCCCCAACATTTCTCTCTCCCAATTTCGGGATGGTTTGGGTATTTTTTTTTCCCATCCCACATTTGTAACACATAAGAAACTGCAGTTTCTTCACAGACAAGTCGTAAGGCTGGATTTCCATGACACCGTTTGCCATCCACATCCCTCCAGGTTTGTTCCAGTTTAAGGATGTAACTTGGCTTTTCTCCTGTCCCTCTTAGTAACTCTGGGTCAGAAGGGCCAACAAAGACAAAAATAAATGACCTGACCGGAGCTCTTTAAGACAAAAACAATGAGTCGTGGGCAGACGACAGAGCAGAGCCCAGATGTGACCCCCAGCGTCTGTGGAAACCTTTGGAACGGCCGGAGTGCGGAAAGCGTAGGACAGCGCGGGACACGGACACACACGGAGTTATTGCAACGGCCTCGTGTAAAACGGCCCCGGCGGCTCCACGAAAACCATCCCGCCTGCCCGGAGCAGCAAGGGGCAGCCCTGCTCGGGGGGAAAAGCACTGCTCACCTCCCTCTTYCTGCAAACAAACCACTGCATGCGGATGTGGGACATGAGCAAGGTTCACGTTTACAGATTTTCCCCCAATCCTGTGTTTTATTTCCCCTCCAGGTGAAGACACCTCAGCCCTCAAGGTCTTTTCTGGCAGGTTTCAACCTTTAACCTTTTCTTGGAGGTTTTAACAAGCAGATTCCCCCGGCAGCCCACGCCCTGCGTGACCCTCTGCGTCCTCTGCAGATGTTGCAGTGGAGGCAGCTCAGCCCCACTCGTGCTGCCGGCTGGGCAAGCACGGCCAACATGGAGCAGACTCCAACACGGAGCAGGCTCCAACAGGGAGCAGGCTCCGACATGGACAAGACTCCGACACGGACGAGATTCCAACAGGGAGCAGGCTCCAACCCGGAGCAGGCTCCGGCGCAGAGCAGGGCTCCGCTGCGACGTGCGGCAAGCGGGTGACACGCAGGAGCCTCGTATTGCTGAAAAGGAGACTCGTACTCTGATATGGTCTCCTGTAGCTCTGAGATAAACTTGGATATATAAAGTGCAAAACATTCCAGCTTTGGGGAGAAGAGGCAGAGAGCTGACCCGGGCAGAGAGGGGCTTGGGGAGGCAGTTAAATGTAACGGGAGGGAGAGAGGAGGTGCAGGAAGCTCCTAAAAACAGTGGCACTTGTGTGTGGGGAGCACCTGGGACACCGGCACCCTCGGGAGGAGCTGGAGCCACGGCCAACACGTCACACGGGCAGCCAGGAGAGCGGCCCCAGGGGTTCCCACGAGAGATAATGGATCCGAAGAAGGGAGCCCCATTCCCAGGCCTTGGATCGCATCGGCAACGAGAAGTTCTTGGTAMTTTCTAGGAGGGACAACCACGTTTCCCGCGGCCCTTCCGCCAGGACGTGTCCCACCCTGGGACACAAGCGGGACCCAAATCCGTCCTATCCTGCATTTCACCTGGGAACACGTGTGGGCCGCTCTCCCCATGCACCCTCCTTCAGTATCTGCGTCTCCCACGGCACCCGCCAAGGACCAGGATCACCAAACCGCAATCAGAGGCGGCAGAGCTCYGCTAACAGCTCCCCAAAATGAACTCACCAGAGAGACAAAAGGAAGCCGCCCAAGCTGGGTTACACTGAACTGAAAACGGGGATTTTTAGAGCCTTTTTTTTTTAAACTCCCCTTTTCCTATTGCAAAAGGCACATTTTCTCAAAGTTGCCATATGCGTTGAAGCAAATGATGAGAAAAGAACACAGAGGTTCAAATAAAAAAAATCCACGGGATCCTTCCAGCCAAGAGGCGGCAGAGCCAGAGGGGGCGGTTTCCTTGAGGTCCCCTTGCCCGGCGTCTCCAACGCGAAGCGACGCGGTGCGAGCTCAGGGCAGCCTCACACGGGGTTATTGCCCCACGCGCGGCCGGGCGGCCGCCGTTATTGCCCCACGCGCGGCCGGGCCCTGCCGCGGTCGCCCACGTTAGCAGCAAGAAGCGGCCGACTCCGCACGGGGCCGGAGCATCTAACGGGGGGCGCCCGAGGCCCCGTGCGGGCCAGGAGATTGGATGCGATTCGAGCTGTGTTCTTAATACTGGTTTTAAGTGGTCTGCGCCTACTGCGGGGTCGCTGTTGCTTACAGGGAGAAGGTGGCAGAGGGCCGGGAGCACAGGGAGCCATGCAGGGAGACACGGGCGGCCCTTCCCGCTGCCTCCCGTCCCAGGGCGCTTTCCTGCGCTGCCAAAGAAGGCAGCGAGGCGATCCCTGGGAGCGCAGGRGAGGAGGGGTCTGGATACCGGGCAGAAAACGCAGCCCGTCCCGAGCACAGCGGCGTCCCCAGCGCCTCCCCGCGCGGCGACGGGCTGAGGGGGCTGCGGAAGGGCCCCGAGCGGCCCCGGGTCCCCATCGCGGCGGCGCTTTGGGCTCGCGCCGCGGCAGCGCCGAGCCCGGGCGCAGCCGGGCCCCGCCGGCCGCACGCAGCATCTCGGGGAGCAGCAGGAGGCCGGCGGTGGAGCAGCAGTCCCGGGATGGGGGCCGGGGGGCTGTTCCTGGCTCCCCTGGCCCTCTCAGAGCAGGAAGAGCACCCAAAAAGGGGCCGCAGCGGCAGCAGCCAAGGCAGACCCCGCTCCTCCTCAGTGCCCGGAGGACAAGCTGCCACCTCGGAGGGCCCACAGCGGGGACGGGCTGGGGAGCAGCAAGCAGCCTCTCCTGCCAARCTCTGCAAACTGAAGCCCTCTGGAAAGGGCAGCGGGGACGCGGGGGCGTTTGGAGCGCGGTTATCAGCAAAGTGCTCTGGGCGAGTACTGGTGCTGCAGGGGTTACTGGGGCTTCCCTTCCCGCAGCGGGATCTGCAGGAGCGTGGGGGAGTGCTCCATGATGCGCACGAGCAGCTGGTCGATGTAGTTCTCCAGTTCGTGGATGTGCTCCTCCTTCTTGCTTAGCTCCTTCTCCCTCTGCAGCAGGAGCTGGATGAGCTCGTCGTGCGTCAGGTGGTAATACTTGGCTGACTGGTCCRGGAAGGTGGCCTCCTGTGGCACAAACCAAGGGGAATGGTCAGAGGGTCCAGGTGAACCATGGCCTGCTGGTAGGGGCASCCACAAGGGCAGAACGACACCGTGCAAGCTCAGCATGTCATGGCTAATCAARTGGTTCTGCTCCGACCTAGTTAAACCTCCTCCAAAACCAACTCCTCCTCATTACAAAACCACGAGGAGATGAGGACATGGGGATGGGATCCTACCTTGAGCTGCTTCGGGTCCGTCTTTTCCAGGTGGGAGCCGGCTGCCACGGGCTGGACGCTGCTGTTGGTGGCCGCTCTGCGCTCGTCCAGGCCGCTGCTCGGGTCCTGCGCCGCGCTCAGCGGTCTCACCGGGTGAGGGCTGTGGAYGACAAGCACGTGGGACACTTAACGCCCGGCCCCGCTCGCAGAGATGCCGCTGACTGGCCCCAAGGGCTTCGTGGAGACAGAGCCGCTGCCACGTTTAGCCAGCGCCGCGCGCTCTGAGGAGCAGGGAACACAGAGCTCTCCGGCACCATCTCCAGGCACGGATGAGATCTGTGCCCATACAGATCTCACATCCATACGGAGCGCGAGGACTCGGCCACTGGCCTCCAGGGCTCCACAGAGCTTGTCCTGAGACACCTTAGCCAAACCAGCGGGAAAGGACACCACGTCTCAATGTCCCTTCCTCGCCAGCTATAAGGGAATTTTATTTTTGCCTCGCTGTTCGGCACCGTTGGGCTGTTTCAGTGCACCCAGACATTTCATATTGCTGCCAGGCTTACACAAAGTGCCTGTTTTCCAGAGTGAGGGAAAGAGCAGGGCCCTGATCCTGCTTTCCTGCAAGCATCCGCAGTCCTGTAGGCCAGCACTTGGGACTCCCTTAAAACCTACCCAGCAGCTGCCCCAGAAAGGGTAGGACAAGGGGCAACAGGGACAAGTTGAAACACAGGAAGTTCCATCTCCACGTGTTCCACCTCACTGCAGTGTGAGGGTGCAGAGCCCTGGCCCAGGCTGCCCAGGGAGGCTGCGGAGGCTCCTGCTCTGGAGATCTTCAAAACCACTTGGACGCAGCCCTGTGCCCCTGCTCTAGGTGACCCTGCGTGTGCAGGGGGTTGGACTAGATGATCTCTAAAGGTCTCTCCCAACGTTAAGGATTCTGTGGCAACCAGAGCCACCAACCAGTGTCCAACAGGCAAAGCATCAACACTCCTATGGGAGGTGTCCAAACCCAGGGAGAGCCCAGGTTTCCCAGAGCGCTTGAAAGGAAGGAGGATGACCCCAGGAGCCTTTTGTAGGAGCCTAGGGACAAGGCTTGGAGTTGCAGACGTCACCCTTCGGAGTTACCACCTCACCGAGGACACTGCAGGCACCATGCCCATGACATGGTGACCATGACGTGCTCAAGTGCTCAAGCAACGAGCTGGCTCCTCCCGTGGGACATAGAGCCAGAGGGGACGGACAGAAGAGGCCGCTGCTGATCCGTCCCTCCACGGCGGCAGAGGGGACTCGAGGGACGAGCCCTGTCTGTGCAGGAGAGCAGCGGGGTTCAGCCCACACAGGGCTTGCACGGCTGCGCGCGACTCTCGCGCTCTCCGCACTGCAGCCTCCGTCTGCCTCGGTTTGCTCTGCTCTGTACGACAGCGATGGGGAAAGGTCCACGCTGCACGTGGCAGAGCCCGGGGGGTGGCTGAGGAGGTGACAGGGCAAAGCCGTGACGGGAACCGGTTGCTAGAGGTAAGAAGGAAACGCAGCCTTCCAGAAAACTGCCCCTGGAGCCCTCTGGAAAACAGATTTATACAGAACCCAAGTGTCACATGCTCTTTGCTATAAAATAAAGCCAGGTTACCAGCACGGTAAGAACTGGAATCCCCTAAAGATGTGACTGAGAGAAGGAATCGTCTCCCTGCTCCTGGAACCGCTTGTGAAGGACAAGGCGGTTTGGAAGCACTGGGCCAGTGTGAGGGACAGTCTCACACTTGGAGCTTGAGGTTTAAGATGAATCTGAGCAGCTTTTGGAGGAAACGCCTCAAGACAGGGGAGGAACAGCCCTGGCCCCGCTCCCTTTCCCCATCTCCTGAGTGAACGCTGTGTCACAGCTCAGCCTTCAGGGATGCTCCCAAGGTCACTGCCGAGCATGGTGGAAAAACTGGAGGAACCTCCCTGCAGCACTTTGGAACTGAAGTCCACATCTTCCCATCAAAAGGCTCCTCAGCCGACGCAACCAGACGGATCAGGGCCAGTCTGTCTGCCAGCTTCTAGTGGAAGATCTGCCGTGCCCGGAGCAGCACCCAAGGGCCCGGCCTCCTTGGAGAAATGTCTGTGGGAGGATCAGGAAGGACCGGACACGAAAGCAGGACCTCCTCCTTGGCGTGCCTGGGGCACTGCTGCGCTGCTGGATGTGCCCAATGGCTCTCYGAGCAGCAAGGGCTCCACAAGGGTTAAGCTCAGACGCCAAAGCCCAGCTTGTGTCTAGGCTGGAGCCTGGTGTGCAGGTCACAGCCCTCGTGCACGTCAGCAGGCTCAGCGCAGCACGTGGTGAGGCCACCCTAGCACCAGGGATGTTTCCAGCCCTGTCACACCGGTGGCAGCGATCACAAACTTCACTGCTCCAAGGGCTGAGCTCCTCCACGGCAGCGGAGCTCCCAAAGCACCATCTGGGCCTGTCCTGGGCTCCCACCTGCACAGGGCTGCAGAGGAGCGACCACCATCTCCATCAGAGGCTCCCTCCTCACCCACACCAGGCACCAGCTTTTCCTCTCTCTGATGGGAGAGACTGTTCTCCCACTGGGCCTTCAAGTCCTGCTCTTGGCTTGAAGTCCTTTCTTCTTCCACCTCTACTGTAACTTTTCCTTTCTGTTGTACCCACCAGTGACCATCCTGTCAGGAGCTACATGAGACCAGCCACATCACGGTGCAGGAGGACTCCTCCCTGCCTTGCTTTGCCCAAGCGAGGAAGCTCATGTCCCCCAAACGAAGTGCATGTCCCCAAGCCCCCTGCAGAGACCTCAGTGACTCTTCAAGGACTCCTGAATCACAGCAGCAGGACAATGTCCATGTTTTACACGCAGAGAACCCCCAGAAGAGGTCAAGGAGCTTCTCGTGCAGGTGACAGGGCCTGGCACACATGGCAGGACTTGGACCAAGCCCCCTTTCCTGGTACAGGTTTGCCAGGTCTTGAGTAGACGCGTGGTCAAGTCCTAAGGTGGCAGTGTGTACTACCTACAGAGGGGGTCCCCAAGCTCCTCTCTGTACCTAATTATACCCTCTAGGACTGCAAAACACTTCTCCTTCCATTAACAAAAATCAAGAGGTTTCTGGATATTTGCTATCTTCAGACTCTGACCAAGGTCATCTGTTGCAGAGCAAATAATTCGATTAAGAGGGATCTGAGATGCTGGCAACCAAAAAAAGAAAACAGAAGAAAAATCACCCCATAGAGCAGCCTGTGGTTGGTGTCTGCTCCCGAGATGGTCCTGCCAAACCCACCCCAAAGCCAGGGAGGGACCTCTACACAGGACCATGACTCAGGTTGACTTCCCCTCTCGCACACTCCCTCTTTCTAGGGACACAACCATCACTATCCTTAGGCCGGAAGGAATTTTATCATTCCAGTGATAAAATTCCCTACTTTCCCCTCTGCCACAGAAGGGAGGCAGACCAAACCAGTGCTAGAAGACCCAGGTCCCTCTGCTTCCCATTTTTGCTGAAAGAGCTTCCAAATACACACGACCTGATCCCTGATATTCCAAGCACAGGCATCCCATGCCGATCTTCTGCCCTAAGCAGMCTGGAGGAAGGAACAGCAGGGCAATCAGATGCACTGGAGAACCCAGAGCAGGAGGGTTGAGGCCTCACACCAGCCCCTCCTCTGCTCCACGGCGTTTCTGCAAGCCCCAGGCTCTGCTCCGGGAGCAGGAACAGACCCTCCTTCCCCGACACACGGACACAGCGTCTCCCACCCTGTTATCCTCAAGGCCAAGTCCTGCCTGCTCCTTCACCAAGGAGCACCTTGGCGGGAGGGAGGGCAGAAGGGCCTTTTGACGCGGCCCCAGGGAGACCCCAGGGCTATGGAGAGAAGGAAGTTTTTATACCGGGTAGCCATTTAGAAAGGAAAGAAACGGAAGTGGAATTAATGGGAAGAGGCCAGAGCTGCAAACGTGCCGTGAAGGGAGTCGTGAGAGCACGGATGGCTGGAAGCTCTCCAGGCGCGTGGGAAAAGGCGCCTATTCGGCAAGCACAGCAGCACGATGGAGCCCGGAGCAGCCCCGAGGAGAACCCCAGAGCTGCTCCAGCAGGACGCTCTGGGGCCACAGCCCGCATTGAGCAGAGGACGGGCGGGAAGAGAGGCCACACGGAGCGGCCTGCTCCGCGCCGGCACAACCGCGAGCTGCAGGCGCTGACTCGGGGCGCTCGCGGCGCCGGCGCACGGGGCTACCCCCAACCGACCCCCTTCGCCCTCCCCGCGGTGCTCACCTGCTCGTCTGCTGCCAAAGGGGCTTCTCAGCCGGCCGTGTCTCCCTGGGCAAAACCGGGAGCGCTGCAGCTTGCGAGGCCGCGGGCGGCAGCGCCGGGCAGGGCCGGGCTGCCGCGGGGCTGCCTGGCATGCGGGAAGGGAGGCTGCTCCGCGGGGACGTTAGCGGCCTGCGGAGGCGGCTGCTGAGGAGCTTCGTGGCGCAGGGCAGCGGGGCCGAGGGCGGCCCGGCCGGGCCGCTCGGGCAGCACCGCCTGCACGGGGAGCGCGGCGGGCGGCCTCGCCACGAACGGGTTGGTCGGCGCCTCCGGGCCGAGCGCCGCGGCAAAGGGATTGCCCGCGGCCGTCGCATCCCGCTCGCTCCCGGCCTCCGCTCCATCTGCCTTCCAGAAATCGGCCTTCTTGAAGTCCATCCCGCGGCCCGCGGGGCGCCCGGGTCCCGACGGCGCCTCCGGCTGGTGGGGCGGCCCATGGGGCCCCTCACCGCGGCGTCCGGGCGGCCGCTCCGCGTGCACCAGCCCCCGGGGCCGCTGCTCGGGAGCTGCCGCCTCCGGCTCTTCCAGAGCCGTCCAGAAGGTCTCCGCTCGGCCCGAGTCTGCTTCGGAAGAGGGGCTTAATCCCGAGGGAAGTGACTGCTCCGGCAGCACGGGGGATCCGGAGGTGAGCGGCCGGGTGGYGCTGGGCACCGGGCTGGGCTCGGCGCCCGCATCGAGGGAGAGCCGCGACGGGCACGTCTCAAAGCTGCTCTCACAGAGCCGCTCCGCGGCCTCCGCCTCCACCGCCCGGTCCTCAGTGGCCGAGTCGGCCTCCTCGGGCAGCGGGAACCCGCTCCCGATTGCCGGCCTGTCCTTGGATGGTGGGAATCCACTCCCGATTGCCGGCCTGTCCTCGGGCGGCGGGAACCCGCTCCCGATCGCCGTCCCGCTGAGCGCGGAGGCCTCGCGGTCCGAGCGCGCGCCGGGGCCGTCACCGTCGCCATCGGGCGCCGCCGGGCGCCGCGGGGGCTTGGGGGGCGGCGTGGGGCAGCGCACGGGTCCCTGCCGGGTGGCACCAGCCTCCAGCCGCGGGTCGGCCCACGGCGGCACCGCGGCCACGTTGACGCCGGCCGTGGGGCTCGTGGCGCACAAGGCAGCCCCGTGGGGCGCGCAGGCGGCACCCAACACGCTCCTCTCCCCCGCGGGCCCCTCGCCGAGGAAGGGCCGCGCTGCCAACGCGCTCGCCGCCTCCCTCCGCTCCCTCTCCAAGGTGTCTCCCACTGGCTCCGGCGCCGTCTCCGTGGCTATGGTCATCCACCCGTTCTCCCCCGCGCTGCCGAGCTCTTCCTCCGTGCCGTCCCCTTCCTCCCCGGCTGCATTTTCAGCACTCCGTTGGGCTGAAGCTCCCTTCTCCCCTGGCTTTCCCGGTGCAAAAAGGGGCGCCCAAACGGCCGGGGTGCTGCTCTTCCTCCTTGGCACGGCGGGCGCCGCGCTCAACACGTCTTCTATGACCGTGGCCTCCTGCGTGGTGCTCACCAGGTTCGCCCCCACGTCTAACCCACAGTAATCGGCCCAGGGCCGCAGCCTCGGGGGCATTTCGGGGACAACGGGGGGACCGGCCTTTCCCAAGGGCTCCGCACCATCCTCGCGAGCCGGGGCGCTCGCGCTGGCCRCACGGGGATTGTCCAGGAAAGCCACGGGATCGTCAATGAAAGCCAAGGGCTCCGAGGACAACGCGGGCTCCTTCCTGGCGCCCGGGTTGAGCCGRCTGCTGGCAAAGGCATCAAAAGTGTCGTCCCACTCCGAGAGCGCCGCGGGAGCAGCGGCCTTCCCATCCGGAGCGGCGAGGTCCCCTTGTGCTGGGGGAGACGTTTCCGGGACGGGGACGCCAACGCTTTGGCCTGGAGACTCCCTCTCCGCATCGTTCCCGCTTAAGGAGGCGGAGGGATCCTCAGCGGACCAAGAGCTCCCAGCGACCTCCGTTGAAGCATGCGGCCCAGGCGGGAAGCTAGAGAGAAAGCGAGCAGGTGAAGGAGAATTTAGTAGCTGCTCAGCGAGGAGGTCCTCAAGGAAAGGGTTGCTCTGCAGGGAGCGGAGGAAGGGGTTGGTAGGGGACAGGCATCCGCAGGGACCCGCTCGGGAAGCGGCGGAGGGGTTAGTGCGGAGCGCGCTAGCGAGGGGCAGCGGGGCGGCGGGCGCCCGGCAAGGGGCCTCCGGGCTGGTTTCTGCCTCAGGAGACACTTCCAGGCTGTGGAGGGAAGACAGAAGAGCCCTGCGGGTTAAGGCAGCGCCCCGGCTCCTCGCTCGGCCTCGGCCAGGCCCCTGCGCTAGGACAGGCTCTCCCGCCTCGGACTCGGGAGCCTCCCGCGGGCTCCACGGGTGCTGGTGCCTCCCGCGGGCCCGCGCGGAGCCCGGGAGGGACCCACGGAGGTCGAGCCCTTCCCAGGTTTCCCAGTGCCCCTGCTGGGGGCCGGGGCGGGAAGCRCCCGCGCAGGGTGTCCTGCTCTCCGGGAGCTACCGGAGGCGGGAAGCGGAGTTTTCCAGCAGGACTCGGCCGCACGGAGGTCTCCACGTCCCGGGGCAGGGCCCGCGGGCAGGACCCCCCTTTGCTGAGRTCCATCCGCTCCGACCTCGGCCACCGCACCCTGCAAGGGGCCGGCAGGACGGTGGGAAGCGGCTCTGGGAGCGCCAGCTCTGCCCCCAAACACCACGGGGTATCCCGGGCCTCCAGCCCGAGCCCACGAGCTCCAAATCACTTCCACAAACTCACATTTCTCCCCCAACTTCCCCCAGACGGAAGCTCCCCAAAGCCTGGACAGAGGAGCCAGCCAGGTGAGGCTCAGTCACCCAGACCTGCGGATCCAGGAGAAATTCCCTCCTCTTCCCAAGCAGGCAGCAGGGTCCAGCTGGTAGCAGAGCAGCACCGCCCTGGCAGCCGGGGCAGCGCTGACGGAGCCGCGGGAAGCCGGAGATCTGGCGCGGAGCCCTGGGACGGCGGCGGCAGCGACACTTCCCGCTCGCTCCCGGTGTCCTCGCTGGCTCCTTCCAGCGCCCGCGTCCACATCAGGATCCCTCGGATCCCGATTCTCGGCACTGAACGACAGAGCAGCAGCAGGACCTTAACGAGTGTCCCCGCTAATGAGCCCCAGAGCTGCAGGGATGGTTTAACCTCCTTCCCAGCTGGATGCTCCGGGAAGGCTGATCCCGTCCCTGGGATGAWGAGTATGGAGCTGAGGCCGGCGGGCGCCTCTAGAGGGAAACCTCCGCCTGCGGCAGCGGCTCCGGATCCCTTCCCTGCTGCATCAGATGCTGACTCACCCTCCTCCTCCTCCCAGAGCCCAGCCTGCAGCCAAAATAAATCCCAGGAACCTTCCTGGCCACGTTTATTCCTTTGGCAGCGCTTCCTGAGCACCTCTTAGCCAAAGAAAAAGAAAAAATCTGACTGCTGAGCAAGCCCCCGATGGAAAATCGATAGGAAAGAGCTTGTCCCAGGGTGGTTCTCTGTAGGGATGGCAGCCCYGGGCTCCGCAGCCCGGTGTGCAGGACATGGGATAAAGCGAAGGGTGGAGGGAGGCAGGGCTTGAATCCGGTGCCGAGGCCAAGCCCTGCGGATGCTCCAGCGGAAAATCCCTGCTGGGGCAGGAACTAGGAGAGGCCAGTGGGCGGCGGGGCCGTGTCCCGGCCGGGATTTGCAAGGAAAGCTCGGGAATGAGGAGCCCGGTGCGGCCTCAGGCTCTGCTGGGGCAGGAAGCCGCAGGATCGGCAGCATCCCCAGAGCCTCGCGGGAATAGGGAGCTTTTTCCCAGATCGAGGTGGCTATGGGAAGTGGTGCAGAAAGGGGACGGGGAGGGAGCCATTCGGCACCCTGGGATGTTCATTCCAAGGGCTGGGAGCTGCAGCTGGAAGGAATCGGCCATTTGGGGCCCCCAGAGCTTTTAAGCAGGAAGCTGGATGGTCAGGCAGGGTTTTAGCTACCAGCGATGCAGTAACGGCAGGAACAGCCCTGCCCTGCGCCCCGTGCTCCGCTCCCGCGCGGATCCCGCTGCCGGCTGCTCCCAGGGATCTCGGCACCGCTTCCCAACGCGCAGCGAATCCCCTGGGCTCCGGGCTCCACGGCGCCGCGACGGCGAATCCGAGGAGCAAGAGCCCCGGTGTCAGCCCTCGCGTGGGGAAAACACCCCAGGGTGCAGCCGAGAGCCATAGGGCCCCGTTTATCCGCCCCGTTTACCGGCCCCGTTTATCCGCCCCGTTTATCCGCCCCGTTTATCCGCCCCGTTTACCGGCCCCGTTTATCGGCGCCGGGCGCAGGACAGGACGGGCCCCTGCGGCGCCCCGATAACGCTCTCGGAGCGGCAGTGGCACCGGCCTCAACACTGATACCGCGGCCGCGCTCCTTCCTCGAGGACACAGCCCTGGAAACGCCCGTTCCGAGGGGCCTCCGGAGCCCGTCCCGGCCAAACCCCGCCGACCTCCGTTCTCCAACGGAGCGTTACGGAAAGGCTGGAGTTGGCACCGGCCGCCACAGCGTCGCTTCCCCTTTTCAGAGGGTGCCCTTTCGCAAGAGCAGGTTAAGCGCCGCTCTGCTAGGCCTGCCTCGGCTGCTGGCTCATTTAAACCTTAGCTGTAAGGGATCGGTCTAATTAGGGCTCTTTTAGCTAATTATAGGCTGTGTTTTGCTGTCTCGCACTGTCCCCTCCGCGCTCAGCCGCGGGTCAGACCAAACCCACGCGGGACGGGCAGCGTCGTTAGCTGCCGGGAGCGGAAAAATGAGGGTTTCCTGAAGGAGGAGGGTGGAAAGGGGGGCGAAAAACGAATCCTCTGCGTGGGGAAGTCAAAGAGGAAGCAAAAAGCGGAGCTTCTGCTCCACTCAGCTCGGAGGCTGGGTCTCCGGTGCGGACTCAGTGCCGGAGGGCCGCACGTCCCTGCTCTCTGCTGGCCCTCGAGGATGCCCTGGGTGGGAAACCTGCACATGGACCCCAAGGAGGGTCCCTGTGCGGCCRCCCCGGTGCTCCAGCCCCCTCCTGACGTCCGAGCAGCATTCCCGYTTCACCGGGAATTTTCCTCAGCTCRCGTAGGAATCTGGTTGCGCTGAACAAACCCTGCACGCCGCGGGGAGAAAACCCCTATGACGGACGGAGCCCCCCGCTTCCCCCGGCACGTTGCCCCTGCCGCCTGTTTCCCTCCCTCCATCCTGAGCTCCCGGGCAACTCTGGAAGCCGAGCGGCAGTGTCCGGCACGGAGGGCAAAGCTCCCACGGAGCTGAGGCGCTCCGCTAATCCCGGGTGGGAAAACCGGCCTGGTCCTGCCGCCCCCAACTGGGGTTTACAGGGATGAATCACCACGTCAAGCTGGAACAATCGGGAATCCGTAAGGGGCAGAAGGAAAGGCCAGGGTGGGAAGAGCAGGGCTGGCGTTAGTGGCTGCAGGAGTACGGAGAGGAGCTCRGGCGAGCACCGAAGCAGAGCCCAGGCCGAGCGCGGAGCAGGAGGGAGCGGGTAGGAAGGCGCCGCCGCGGGGGACATCCCGCGCGCTGCCCCGGGCGCCAGGATAGCGCGTGAGGAGCTGGAAGGCTCCGGTGCCGCGCGGGGCCGCTCGGCGCTGCCCACGGAGGCGACTCCGGCCTCGCCGCCGGCCGAGGGAGCGAGGGGCAGCGCCAGGCGTGCCGGCTCCCCGCATTCCCCCTCGCCCTCCCGGCGCTCCCACAGGAGACACCCAGCGCCCAGGACGCGTTCCCGCCGCTGTTATCTCGGCAGCCCTACAACGGGCAGCCCGGAGCAGCGGGCAGAGCCGCCGCGGCGCGTCGGGCACCGCGTGGCACCGGGTGGCACCGAGCCCCCTGCACTGACCTGCGTCTCGGGGGAGGCTCCTGCTGCTCCTCGGGAGCGAGGCAGCCGCTCGGCTTCTTCCCTCCATCCGCGCCAGCCTGCACGGAGGAGCCACCGGAGGCTCCTGCCTTCTCTCCCRCGTCGCTCTTGCTGCCTCCGTGGTGGAAGAGGCCGCCCTTGCCTTTCCTCTCTTCCCTCCTGGCCTCCTCGGGGGCTTTTCCCTTTGTCCCCTCGGCGGCGAAGACCATGGGCGCTGCGGCCTGGGTGGGTTTGCCCTCCGAGCGGCCGCTCTCCTCCATCCTGGCCCTGCCCAGGTGGTTGCTGAGGGTCACGGCTTTCGTGGAGACCTTGAGCTCCTCCTGCAAGGCCAGGCTGGGAGGAGAGGGGATGAAGCGCGGCTCGGGCGGCCGCCGGGGGCTGCGCGGGGCGGCCTCGGCGCCGTACACGTGGCTGCCGTTGATGCAGAGCGAGGAGCGGGGCGCGGGCGGCGCCTTCGGCGACGCCGGGGGGTCCCCACCTGCCGGGGAGGCAACACGGAGCAGGGTGAGCGGAGCGGCGCCCGGGCGTCCTGCCCACGGCCCCTTCCCGCCGCGGGAGCGCCAGGTCCCAGCCCACGCAGGGAACCTCCCAAAGCCTCTTAGAGGGCTTAACCGGAGGGCGCGTTGGGGTTTTGCCTCCACGGGGCCGGGCTGCTGCTTCGCACAACCGAGTGGGCCCCGCTCCTGCCTGTCCCGCTGCCCGAGACGGCATCTTTATGGATTTCATGGGTTTTATTTGGAAAGCGCGGTTAAAAGAGCAGCCTGGACATCAGGCGACAGACACCCGGTCCCCCTTCCCAGCTGGATCTTCATCCCGGGGTGAGGATGAAGAGGGCCAGGCCAGCGCATCCGCCTGCGGCACCGCGCACGGAAGCGGCACCGAGTGACTCCCAGGCCAGGCGGGAATCTGCCATGCCCAGCCAACGAGCTCATTTAATTATATACCTCGTTCCCAGGGGACGGCCGGAATTAAGGCATGACAAGGGCCTTTTTTGTTTGCAAATCACCGCTGTGTGCGAGCCAAGAGCCCGGATTGCTTTAATCGCCGGGAACCGGCCCCGCTTTCGGCTGCATCCGAGCCGGAGGCGTCGCATTAGAAACGGGAATGAGATCCTGGCGCCCGTCGGAGCCGCTCTCCCGGACACGGACCAGTCCCGACCCTCCCGGCGCTGCTGCGGGCGCCTCCGTGTCCCAGCCCAGCGCTAAAGCCGAATCCTGGGATGTCTCCTCCCATTCCATGTGTTCCCTGCAGGTTTGTGCTGGACCCCGCAGGCAGTAAGTTGAGGGATTTGCAGGAAAGCCCCAGCAGCCCGTTAGGAAGCAAAGAATGGGGAAAAAAAGTGGGGAGATTAGCCCCGTGATCCGCTTACCGGAGCGCTCCRCAGACAGGCTGCCCTGCCTGCTCGGAGACTTGGATCCGTCGGGAACGCTGCCGGCCAGGCCCAGGCTGGCCGAGGAGATGGTGCTGTCGGAGCCCAGGGAGGTGCTGGACTGGGTCAGGGAGGATTTGCGCAGCTTGTTCCTCAGGAAGAAGCCCTTCACCTTGGACTTCTTGCCGCCGCCGTCCTCGTCGTCGTCGTCGTCGTCGAGGGCGCCCACGCTGCTGGGGACGATGGCGGAGGCCGACTCCAGGTCGTACCTCTTCTTGCCCGTCACCTTGTCCTTGAGCTTGCCAAAGGGCGAGCGCGGCTTCTCCTTGGCRGACAGGTCGAACATGCTGGCCGAGAGGTTGTGCCGCGTGAAGCAGATGCTCACCTGGATCTCGCCGCGCTCCTTCTCCTTCTTGCCGGGCTTGGAGTGCAGCTTGTGCCACCTGCACACGGAGGGGAGAGGAAGGACAGGGGCCCTCTGTCACCAACAAGGGGCACAAACGTCCAGGAGGAGCCTCGTGGGACCAGCACGAGGGTGCTCAGGTTGGATGGGACCCGTTCCTGCTCCCCAGCTTAACTCCTGCTGCTCCGCAAAGGAGCAGATCCCATCCCAGGCCAGCTCCAAACTCCTATTTTTTGGTGCAAACCCATCCTTAAAGAGTTAAAACCTTCACAAGGCAGATGAAAAAACTGCAGCTCCGCCGCAACCCCGCACAGCCCCGCCGGGAACTGCTCCGCAAGCAGAACAAGCCCGGCCCTTCCTGGACCAAACTCGAGAATTCCCCTCAAGGAGGCCAAGGGGGAGGCGCCGGCCGGCGGTGCCGGAGGCCGCCGCGCTCGGAGCCACGCTCCGCACGGGCAGCACACGGCCAAGGGCGCCGGGACCAGCTCCTCGGCCTGCGCACGCAGCCGCTTCCCAAGGATTTGCAACAAAAGCAGGCGAACAAACACGGCTCTCCGCTGGGTTTTGAGGCCGCTTGTTAGGAAGGGTGAAGTCACGCAGAGGAAAAAGAAAAAAGGGAAGGAAAATATGAAGCGACGGCGCTGGGTGTAACCAGGCGGAGAGCGGCAGCGCGAGGGCAAAACACGATCCCGGCTCCCTGGAGCTCCTGCGTTCCCATCACAGACCCCATCGGATCCAGGCGGAATCAGGGGCCCCGCACCCCAGGAAACYGGGTTTGTGGGGGAAAACAGTTGGTTTTTCCCTCCTTGCTCCCTCGCAAGCACCGGCGGGAGAGGAGGCCCCGGAGAGGCGGCGCGGGGCAGGATTCCCTGCCCAGCATCGCCCAGCTCCGATGGCTCCTCATCCCGCGGGAGCAGCTGGATTCCGGCAGGACCTAGGTCACAGGAGCTGCTGTCCCACAGGGAGCCACCAGCAAGGCCGGGATCTCGGCCAGGGCAGCGGGCAGCRTCTGAGAGCCCGTCTCCGGCTGCTCGGAGCCCCGGGGATGGCGGGGCCGCCGCGTGCCGGGTGGGTTATCCCGGGGGACGGCGGGAGCTGGAGCGAAGAGCAGGAGCCTCCCTGTTCCCCCATCCCCGCAGCGACACCCGTGGCCTCTGGGAGGACACAGGGGGACACGGGCCTGCCCAGGGGGACAGGATCCTGCCCAGGGGAACACGGTCCCCAAGGGGACACAGTCCTTAGGACACATCCCAGCCCGGGAGACCACTTTCCTCTCCTACTCTGCTCTGTTTTGGACCTGTTTGCTCCGCTTYGGATCCCTAAGAGATCCCTGTCCATCCCTGGCCCATCCTGCCCTGCCCYGCTCCGACGGGACCGTCCCAMGCRCTCCGGCYGCCTTTGGAAGAGGTTCTCGCTCCCAGGGCTCCCGGTGCCTCCGGAGCAGCTGGGCTGCTCATGCCCAAGCAGAGCGCTCCGGGCGCAGCCGGACTCCTCCGGAGACCCTTCCCAAGGGAGCCGGGATCCGCAGCAGGGCCCGGGCGCGCGGAGCCGGAGCCTCCGCCCCGCAGCCAGAGCGGCCCCGGCCCCTCCACCACAGGAGAACCCCTGAAGGAGGCGGGAGAGGCGCCGGGAAGGGGCTTTAACGGCGGCTCTGCCGCCGGGGGGGTCGGCAGCGCCGGTGCCTCCCGGGTGGGTTTGGGTGCCCCGTTCCGCAAGGCGAATCCTGCGGGGCGGATGAGGGAGCAGCTGGAACAGGTGGATCCGCCATGGACGGGGCACGGGAAGGGGCTCCAGAGCTTCCTACGGGAATCCAGCTCTATCCAGACCTTCCATTGGGAATCTGGCTCTAGCCAGAACTTCTCCCTGGAATCTGGCTCTATCTAGACCTTCTGCCAGGAATATGGCTCTATCCAGAGCTTCCTCCAGGAATCYRGCTCTATCCAGAGTTTCCTCCATGAATCTGGCTCTATCCAGACCTTTCCTCAGGAATCCAGCTCTATCCAGAGTTTCCTCCAGGAATCCGGCTCTATCCAGACCTTTCCTCAGGAATCCAGCCCTATCTAGACCTTCCCCAGGGAATCCGGCTCTATCCAGACCTTTCCCTGGGAATCGCTGGCAAACAGAGGAACAACATCCAACCCCTGCCTCCAGATCATGAAAATAGCCCGGATCCAACAGGCTGCCCTGTCCGCGCGCCCAGCGCACAGGCCAGGAATCCATTGGGGATGGAAAGCCAGGGCTTTCCCCTTCCTAAAGGAGCACAGGGGTGTTTGGGAATAGGCGGGAGGGAGGGAAGATCCAAGGAGCAGCAGACGGGGCTCGGGACGCTGATGATATCGGCCCTGGAGGTCGACTGCCCGTCGGGGACCGCGTTGCAGGGAGCAGCCCGGGGCCGCCGGCGGCTTTCGCTGCCGTTGGGAGCTTTCCAGAGCCACCAGCGGAGCTTCCGACACCGCCGGCTTTCYGGAGCTGCCCTCCGCTCCCGCCTCCCTTCCTTTCCCATATCAGGAATGATACGGAGCAGAAGGAGCTCCCAGACCGAGACCTGACCCGGGATGTGCCCGAAGCCACCAGGGCTCGGGGAGATGTCCCAGGAGAGGCAGGAGGGAGGGTTGGAGCCGCCTCCAAGGGGGCCGTTCCCAAGGGCTGCACGTGTCAGGGGGCTCCAGACAGGCAGGGAGAAGGGAGCAACAGGAAAGCTCTGGATGGAGCAGCGCTTTTCCGGGATGCAGCTGCCAAGGACAGGCTGGACATGCTGCACGAAGGCAGAGTTAGCCCCAAACGCACCGAAACACAAGGAATAGGGAGCCTGTGTCCGAGGAAGCGCCGGGAGCCGGGAAGCAGGACATTTCCTCGCTCCTAACAAGAACAGCCCAGGCAGGAGCGGAGCCAGGGAAAGGCCCAGCCGGGAGGGCACCGGGGAGAACGGCAGTGCTGGGAAAAATCCTGTGAAAAAGCGAGTGAAAATCCACCCTCGAGGGCTGGAGCAGCCGCCCCGGGGCGGGTGGCCACAGAGCCCCGGCCTTGGGGACACATCCCGGTGTCCTCGAGTGTCCGGGGACGTCCGGGATGCCTGGAGCCGGGTGGGATGGCGGGAGCAGGCGCTGGGCCCCGACACGGGTCGGGAAGAGCCGGGAAGCATCAGGAGCCGTGCCAGGATTTCGGGCCTTTTCCGCCCACATGCGGCTCCAGAGGCAGCGTGTGCATCGCTGCTTTTGATCCGGGAATGGGAGCTTCCTCCGGAGCGATGCCAGGACTCGCCTGGATGTCGGAAGCTGATCCGAGCTTGTGCCAGTGGCGCTGGCTCCCTGGGATCGCCTGACTCCGTGTCCCCATCCCGCCACGCTGCCCCTCGCTGCAAACCCACCCTCTGGAGATTTTTCCAAACATCCCCCCAAATSCAAACTGTTCCAAACCTCAGGCCCTGCTGTTTCGAATTAGGCCCGGAGAATCCAGGTCCGATTCCATTGCCCGCTCTCCTAGCAACTCCCATAAAGCAAAATAAGGGTAGAGAGGTGGGAATCGCCCAGGCCGGAGCTCTGGGAGCTCTGGGGCCATTCCCTTCTCCTCCTTGCCCAATTCCAGCAGCACAAACCCGGCACCTTCCACCCCGGCAGAGGCCGCTCCGGCCTCTTCCCGCTCTAATCCCGCTCTCCCGAAGCGGGGCCAAGCTTCCCGCCAAGCTCCCGGCCTTGCCTGGAGCGAACCCCAGCRAACCGCCTCCCTGCAGGAATGTCATCCACATTCCTGCATTTCCCTGCCTGGCAAAAAAAAAGAAAAAAAGAAACTAGGGAGGAAAAAACATCTTCATTTCCTTGTCTTCCCTTCAAGTGCTCCGGGAGGGACAGCGGGATCCCCCAGGGCAGCCGGGGCGACGGTGGCACCGGTGGCAGCGCCCCAACGATGCGGGTCCYGCCTGGGAATCCTTTCCTGGTGGGAAAGACGCTCCCTGCGATGCCCTGGCCCTGGAACTCCCTTCCGGGGGGATGGAGGCGCCCCTGGAGCCCCCACCCGGGCACAGGGACACGCTGTCCCGGTGACGCCCTTCCCGGGTCACATGTGTGGCCTTCCCAAAGCATGGATGGGCTCCAAGAGGTCCTGTGTCCCATGGTACCCTCCCTACGACACGCATGGATCCAGTGACA